GATGTAGTAATATTTTTCTTGTGAGAATTAGATTAAATTAGGATTCGTGTAAACATGGTAAGCTATTCATTAGTGCATCCCCCCTTTTTTTTAACAAAATTAGTTTCTCATTATTGGTTTTACTGAATTTTTTTAAACTCAGTAAAACAGGTACTTCTAGTCGAGATTTCACTTACATTTTCATGTAGTATAATCATCTGAGCAATTTTCAAGAGACATAATCTGGTTTAATGATATTATAATGGTTAGTGAAGTATCTACATATTAGGCACAGGAAGCAGGCTCATTGAATAAACAAATGAACTTATGACTCTATCAGGTTTCCATGTGACATAAATGGTAAACAGAGATCCAGGTCCATTAGTTAAATACGGCATTTGTATGTTTTAAAGCTCTGTCTTTTATGTGTCAGTCTGTCCGATCAACCAAAAATAGAAAAAAGTTCTTAAAAAGAGAACATATGCTGGAAGAGATTAATGACCACAACCAAACAATGCTATGTATCAAAAACATGCAAAACTGAAAATAGATAAACACTTACTTACTCCTGGTTCACTTCATGTCAGTTGCTTTTTGACCCCGTGTGTTGATATTTGATTCTTACAACTCTGAGATCATCACTGGAATCATCCTCATGCCATGGAAAAGAAGACTCAAACTGAGATACAGAGGGGTTAATCCACGTGCCTTCTCCACGGCCAAGTGACAGGACCAGAGTGGTTCCGTTCCTCTGTCATCACTCCTATCCTGTCCTGTCTTTGACAGTGATCTGTTTCCATCCAGAGCCACTACTGAAGCAGACTTCAGACCTCTATGCATGGTACCAGAACGGTCCTATGGATCTAAAACTCCTAGTGAGCAATATCAAATTTGCTAAAGCATTAGAAGGAGTAGAAGAGAACCTTTTATTTTTCTTTTTAAAACTCTCTTCTTTCACAGAAAATTGCTTCAGAATCATCCCTTAATGTGTTTCTTCTCCCAAGGCTCTGATGACTTTGCCAAACTGAGAGAGGCAGGGAGCGCAGTCACATTGTTGTTGTTGTTATGTGTGTGCGTGTTTTCCTTTAAGCTCCTCGGTGCACTGACTGGGGTAGCTCCCAGAACTAACCTCTATCTTTTCTCATCCACTTTACCCTTTGCTCAGGTCGGAGACTTCACTCTATTTCTGATCCTCCTAACTTGCATCCTCATGCTCGTGCATTCAAAATAGGCCTCTAGTTACCACGAACGCTGTCATTTGAAGATGGTAACACTACTTTTTTACAGAAGGAGAAAAAAGAGATTTTCAGTTCCGATACTGATGGGTAACATGCCAGATTGATCAGGGCATGAGGACCTAAATTATGTAGTCCAGATATGGAGCCTGGGGCTGGGGCTGTGGATAGAGGAATACAAGGTGCATTTTCTAGATGACCTAAACTCAAACCATTAGATGCTGTTTTCTTTAGCCATGCAGAAGCTTTTTATTTTGATGAGATCCCATTTTTTTATTCTTTCCTTTATGTCCCGTGCTCTAAGGGGTCATACTGGTGAAAATATTGCTGCATGGGATGTCTGAGATTTTTCTGCCTATGTTCTCCTCTAGGACTTTTACGGCATCATGACTTACATTTAAGTCTTTTATCTACCTTGAATTTATTATCATGTATGGTGTAAGTTGGTGATCAAGTTTCATTTTTTGCATGTAGTTGTCCAGCTCTCCCAACACCATTTGTTGAAGAGGCTATTTTTACTCCATTTAATGCTGCTGTCCCCTCTGTCCCATATTAATTGACTGTAGAGACCTGGGTTTATTTCTGGGCTCTCTGTTCTATTCCACTGGTCTATGTGTATGTTCTTATGCCAGGACCAAGCTGTTTTGATTACAGTAGCCTTGTAATACAGTTTAATAGCAGTATTGTGATTCCTTCTACCTTGTTATTCTTTTTCAAAATTTCTGTGGCTATTTGGGGTTGATTATGATTCCATATAAATTTTTGAAACAAGTGTTGGAGAGGATGTGGAGAAAAGGAAACAAGCACTAGTGTACTGTTAATGGGATTGCAGGCTGGTGCAGCCACTGTGGAAAATAGTATGGAATTTCCTCACAAAACTAAAAATATAACTGCCTTTTGACCCAGCAATTCCACTGCTGGGATTATATCATAAGAACCCCAAAACACCAATTCAAATGAACCTAGGCACCCCAATGTTCATAGCAGCAACATTTACAATAGCCAAGTGCTGGAAGAAATGTAAGTGCCCATCAGTAAATGAATGGATCAAAAAACTATGGTACATTTACACGATGGAATTCTAAGCAGCAGCAGAAAGAGGAAGCTCCTACCCTTTGCAACAGCATGGATGGAACTGGAGAGCATTATGCTAAGTGAAATAAGCCAGGTGATGAAAGACAAATACCATATAATCTCAGCTTTAACAGGAAACTAATCAACAAAACAAACAAGCAAGCAAAATATAACCAGAGACATTAAAATTAAGAACAATCTGATAGTAACCAGAGGGGAGGTAGGAGAGGATAATGGGGCAGAAAGGGTGAAGGGTTTTCAGGAACAACTATAAAAAACACATGGACAAACCTAGCAGGAGGTAGAATCAGGGGAGGGAGGTGGAGATGCCTGGGGGGGGGGAAGTGGTAGGGGGAAAGGCAGACAACTGTACTTGAGCAATCATAAAATAAATAAATGAAAAAAAGAAATACCAGGTCAAAACATAAATGCCTTTAGAAACAAATGATGAGTGGACCTGGACAAGGCAGAACTCAAATTGTACCTGTGTCATGAAGATTGTATTTATTACTCCAGGTATAAATGATTTCTTTCTATTTCTGAGCTTTTGGCATTTTCAATACATCTCATGTTATTGCTGGTTTATGGAAGTCTGCTTATGCCTATGAGCCTCTATCTCTTAAAATTAAGTACATTCTGTAAATTAGCACATGGCTGTTTAGTGCCTACTTCACACACAGTACTAGGCATATGGCATAAAAATCAAGATTAAGTTATTGGCCCTGCCCTTACATAACACAGCATAAATATATGTTCAATAAATACCCTCTGAATGATAAAATGATTAAGCTGATATGTCTATTTTTACATCAATATTATTATCTGGGGAAAAATATAGCATCACAAAGAAGTCCTAAAAAACCTATGAAATCTGCTTTGCTAAGAGTGCTTTCATTCATATGTTAAGGGTTCAAGCAAGAAACCCTAAAACTCTCTTCCTGGCAGACACTGACTCAGATTTCTTTGAAATGTTATCTACTGTTTGATCCTTGCTACCCTGTATTCTGTGTATTACAACCTAATAAAAGTTCTTAGAGGAAGGGGCTTAACGCCTTTTTTCCCTGAGAAATGGGCTACTACTTAAGGCCTTTTTCCTCTAGGAAACTGGCCACCTCTCCTCCCTAAGCAGATTATGTCTCAATCATATTTACTCTCATCTGTGGCACACAGGAAACTTGAGAGGAAAGTTGCCCCCACAAGAAACTATGCTTGCCCTGGAATTATAATAAATATTGCTCTTGAATTATAATCCTGGGGTCAGTGCCCCTAAATAAACTTCCGGAATATTTTTTTCTTTATATAATCTGGTAACATCAAGAATCTTTTAAATTAAATCTAGATCATGGATACTCACATAATCACTAAATTTCTAATGAAACTAAAAACGACTTTTAACTTCTACTTCAATTCAGAATCATAAAGTATGTTTCCCCTTTAATTGGCCATCTGATTTAGAAACAATATCTCAGAGGGCCTGTGGGATTTATCATACATATATGTACCATTGCATAGGAGTTTCTACTAATTGGACAGAACACTGTTCTTTGCCTTTCCATTTAGCTTTCATCGTAAATTGTTGGGTTTAACCAGCTTTTCAGTATTTTAAGTCATGCTAGAATCTATAAAATATTTTCTCCTAATTCCCTTGGTATTTTAACTAATAAAAACATCTTTACAATATTCTTATGGTCAGCCTCATGCCGCCTCCCTCAGTTTGCTGGCCTCATCCTCAGACTATTTTTGAACCAGAAGTATTTGACTTCTCTTCCTCTTAGCTACCCTTTGTATAACCCCTGATTTTAAACTTTCATTTTTTATGTTTCTCACTTAAAACAAATTTTGTTATCAATAAAACTCTGTCTAAAAGTACAAAAGACTTCCCGTATCAGTTTATTATAGGGCCATGTTTTTCTGGTTAGTCTCCAGGATTAATTTTTATAACCATGATAAAGTGTACATTTTTAAAAATCTAATGAAAAGAGTCAATAACATGAGTAACGAACTTCTTACTTTCCAAATATGTGTGAATTCATTTCATGTGAAAGATGAAAGAGAAATAGGAAAGAGGTGCAAAAAAAAAGATGAGAATTATGAAAATAAGAGAAATGGAGTGAAACTGGCCGCTAACAACAGGGAAGCAGGTGATCATGCGGTAACATGAATGAGAACTCAGTTCAGGACACTCTGCTTTGCACATAAAAGTGCCCCAGGCCTAAGACAAAATGAATACATTTTGCAGTAAACAGTCATTGAAAAGAGCAGACCATTGTAACCTGTTAGTTTGCCTTTATTCTTGAGCCCTAGAGTCTCACTCCATTCAATGCCCCTGTGATCCTGGTTCTGCACTTAGATCACGCATGCCATTATTCTGGTACAAATGTCAATTAACTCCCCAAACATACTAAAGAAAATATACAAAACTCCTTTTTAGGACTTTGGAAATCTGTGTAATCCCCACCCCATTGCCATTGACATCTTCAGTCTCATCTTAAATGAGCATGCCTTTTGCTCTCCAGAACCCCTCAGCTTTCCCCAAAGCCAAAATTACTTTTTTTTTCAATTCTGTTGAAATGTTTTCATGGAGACTTACCAGAAATGCTTAATTCTGAAACATCTTTTGAGTTTGGCCTATGTTGTCATTCTCTTTGCCTGAAAGCCTTCTCCTCTATCCTCCCTGCCTCCACTCAAGTCCTTTTATTTTGTTGACCTTACCTCTTCCATCGGGTCACATTGCCTCTTCCTAGAGAGTCTGGGTTAGGTGCTTCTCCCATGCGTACTTCTATCTATGGCCATTTTAATTGTCCTTAGCCCCACTAATTGAATTGTTAAGTTTCACAAAGACTAAGACTTTGACTGTATCACTACATAGTCCTATGAACAAAAAATGTTCTCAGTGAATATTTGCTGACTGAACGGATGATTTTTTTTAAGTCAGAGAAAAGATAAAAGTTTAGAGAAAGGGCTTGCTATTGGTAACAATTATAATCACAATCAGGATGAAGTTTAAATTTTTTAAACTCATATTTAAAAGATTTCCTAAGACAGTCTCTCTGTTTTAGTAACTATTGCAATCATATTATTTGTAATTATTTAGAGCCAACTAGCATAAAATACATTTTTGTTGAATTTTTGCATAACTGTTGTCTATCTTAGTAAATATTTTTTAAGGGCTGAACCTGTGACTTGGCCATTTCATAATTTGTAATGTTATCCCTTGACACACAGCATTTGAAAATAACTTATATTTGTTATATATGGATCCAGAGACTTACTTTTTTGTATAAACAGAATGTATGATTTATAATCCCATTTATGTTCATGTTTGATAATATCTCCTATTTATTAAGTACATATTATGTTTTCTGTGGCCTCACAGAAAGAAATACATACCATCAAACTATTGTTGTGAACTGTGTTACCTTGGGACTTCCATTAAGTTACCGAAGTTCTAGCAGTTGTTTATCACAGTGTGATGGCAGCAACTGTGACTCTTCTCTGTCTCCCCAATGACTAGCACGCAGCCTAACACTGAGCATATTCCCAATGTTGCATATGCCAAATGTTGAACCGATGAAAGAATCCTTTAAGGACAAGGGCATTCTAAAAAACAGACCATTTTTGCAAAAATAAAACAATAAAAAATTAAAAACATGGGCTAATAGTATATTGCAAGTCTCCTGTAATAACCTTCTGACTGGTACTCTTGCCTCTACTCTTATCGTTCAACTCACACCCACTCCCATTCTGTTCACAACATAGCCAGGGGGATCTTTGAAAAATATTTATTATATCCCAGCCCTCTGCTGTAAAAAACTCTCCGAAGACTTTCTGTCATACTCCACGGTGGCTGAAAGTTTCTTCAAAGTGAATATGTCCTTAATTTGCATTTCCTTTATTATTAGTGATGACCAAAATATCACCTCACATCTGTCAGAATGGCTATCATCAGTAAAGCAACAAACAACAAGTGCTGGTGAGGATGTGGAGAAATGGGAGCCATTTTGGACTGTTGGTGGGAATATAGACTGGTACAGCCATTTGGAAAGCAGTATGGAGTTACTTTAAGAAATTAAAGGTGAACTCTCTTATGACCTAGCAATTCCACTTCTGGCAATTTATCTGAAGAACCCGAAATGTGAATTTGAAAGAATATATGTACTGTCTATTAGTAGATGAGTAGATAAAATAGCTATGGCATATTTACACAATGGAACACTACTTGCTTGGCTGTAAAAAAAAGAGAATTTTTCTTCTCGTGACAGCATGGATGGACCTGGAGGACATTATGCTGAGGGAAATAAGCCAGTCAGAGAAAGAAATACCATATGATTTTGCTCATATGTAGAAGCTAGTGGAAAAACTGAACTAATAAAGAAAATAGAGACATACTCAGAGAGCAGGTGGATAGCTCTGGAGTAGGAATGGGGTTGAGGGTGGAGGGACCTACCAAAAAAGAAAAAGAACTCATGGACATGGACAACAGTTGGTAATTGCAGAGGGGAGGGGTGTTGGTGAAGTGGAAAATGATATAAGGGGGATAAATGGTGATGGGAAAAAATACAATAAAAAATGAACTACACAGTGAATAAGGCCATACAGGAACAATGGACAAGCACTTCTCAGGATAAAGGCACAGAGATAAATAAAAGGAGAGACCGAGTTCACATTCAAACCACTGCCCACTCACCGAACTGTAGGCTCTGGCATGTGGTTTTACCTGTCCAGAGTGAGGAGGGCCATTTCTAACATGCACAAGTGTGGTATGTGGCTTAATTTTAATGTTAATAAGAACAATGGAACATTTAAAGATGTCCCGGAGATTCCTAAGCCTCTCATTTTTTTTCGAATTCTTGTTTCTTCATTCTTTTCTGTTTGGTCATTTTTTCCTTCCTTCTGGTTTACTCCCTTTATTTGAGTCCCAATTTCCTTTCCATTACTATTGGTTTCCTGTGCATTACCATTCATTTCAATTAGTTTAGCCTTCATATGTTCCTCTAATTTGTGACTAAAATCAACCAGTTCTGTGAGGATCCTGATCACCAGTGTTTTGAACTGTGCATCTGAAAGTTTGCCTATTTCTTCATCACTTAGATTTATGGGCTCTGGGTCTTTGATTTTCATGACTTGGAATACCTCTTTCCGGCCCCTTCTTGCCTGTAAGGTATCTTTTGAGAAATCCGCTGACAGTCTGATGGGAACTCCTTTGTAGGTGACAGTCCCCTTACCTCTTGCTGCTTCTAGGATTCTCTCCTTCATTTGAATCTTGGCTAATATAATGACGATGTGCCTTGGTGTGTTCCTTCTTGGGTCCAACTTCTTTGGGACTCTCTGAGCTTCCTGGATTTCCTGGAAGTCTATTTCCTTTGCCAGAATGAGGAAGTTCTCTTTTATTATTTGCTCAAATAAGGTTTCCACTCATGACTGTTCCTCTTCCCCTTCTGGTACCCCTAATTCAACCAAGATTGCTCTATCCAGCAGTTTTCATTTAGAATAGAAGGACAGATAAAGTGCTTCTCAGATAAGACCAAATTCAAGGAGTTCATCATCAGCAAGCCCTTATTATATGAAATGTTAAAGGAACTTACCTAAGAAAAAGAATATGGAAAAGATGAACAGTGAAAGGACAGCAAACTCACAATTATCAACAACCACGCCTGAAACAAAAGCAAATTAAGAGGACAGCTAGATCAGGAGTGAACCATAGAAATGAAGATCACATGGAGGATTAGCAACAGGGGAGTGCCAGAAGGAGAAGGGGGGAGAAGGTACAAAAAATAAGTAGCATAGACAATAGATAGAAAATAGATAGGGGGGAGGGTAAGAATAGTAGGGGAAATACAGAATCTAAAGAACTTGAGACACATGTTCATGAACTAAAGGGGGGATGGTGGGGGAGGGGTGTGCAGGGTGGAGGGGAATGGAGGGGGGAAATAGAACAAATGTAATGGCATAATCAATTTAAAAAAATCAGCTATACTGATTTTTAAAAAAAAGAGCAATGGAGAAACAGTAGTATCTGCTATTTCGATATTAGAAGTTATTTGAATGTAAAGAGAAGTATTATAATTAAGAAAATTAAGTGACAAAAATCTCAGAAAAATATCATAAAGGTATTTAATACAAATATATACATTTCTTCCTAAAATGACTTATTTAACATTAATTTCTTAAAATTATTTTTTAAATAATAGACACCATCAAAATGGCAATAATAAGTAAATAGATATATTAAGAGGTATCAAAGATGATATGCTTTCTTAGATGTAGCTGTTTTGCTACAGCTAACATCTATTTCTGTAAAAAGCTTTCCTATATATACATATAAATTTAAATATATAACAATTTACAGGTAACATGTTAGGCATATACACCGAAGTGATCAGACATTTCAGGAGACAAAATATGCTGCAAAGTATCAAACTGTAAAGTATATTTTAGTTATGGTAATGAAGAAAGTGAATAAAGCTTTAGATTAAGAATAAAAATTTACCCTTTAACTTTACACAAGTTTCACCTTTACAAAAACTTCATTTTCTTCATAAACACTAGCATTAATATTCTCCTTTTCATATTCCATGTTTTATTTTTTAAACAAAATCAGGACAAAAATGGGAACACAAATTATTCAACAATTTTATTAGTATGTCAATGATTCATATAAAAATGTTAAGTTAAAAATTTAACTTGTTATCTATCCTTGGGATCAGTGAAAATGTCTAGCATTTACAGAGGTCATCGTGGGTTATAAAAACACAATGGATGTCAATTACAACATATGAGTGTGTCAATCTTTAACTGTCAAAGAAAATGTTATCTGTATTTTCTGACTAATATACAATAAAAAAGAAAACTGCAACTTTGCATATAAACCTCTTTTGACCATGGCATAGGTACAAAACTTGTTTAAGTTATGTACAGATGAGTATTTGAGACTCATAGACTTCTAAAATGTTGACTCAATATTAAAGTGATCATTATGGATTCAAAATAGTAAAGAAAAATGAGTAGCATTTATTGTTTAATTGAACTGGCAGAAAAGTGTACAAAGGTCTAACTGCCACACGGAGCTAGCAAAACCACTACAGCATAACGGTGGCTTGGGCCACGGGTGGTACACAGGCTACCTGCACAGGAGATGTTATATTTTTAAAAAGGACAATAATAAAAAATATGTTTCTAAAACAATTTAAATTATTCTATCTGCAAACTGAAAAGTTCGATGCATTGCCATCTCTGTAATTTTTTATAAAAAATCAGTTATAAGCAAAGTAGAAAGGTCCCATGTTCTCACACAACTCTGACAGAGAAACTGTCAATGTTAGAAGGAAGAACATTTAAAACTTTGAGTTGGGTATTCCAATTGTATTGGGTGCCAGGCACAGTATTTTTGGAATGGCTGCTTTGGTTTCTGCTGAGAACAAAAATACATGATCTGGGAAAATATTTTTTCTACATTCTCTCATTATGTATTGAGAAGCAAGGAATGTCACCAATCATCATTATGTGGCATTTAATAATGGTGACTAACTAGTACAATAAGTGCTTTTTGAAACTAAGATGTTATTTGAAAAGGATTATTTTTGTGTAGAATATTAATAGCCTGTGAAGTCTTTTTTTCCTGTTTCCAGTTTCTGAACAGATATTATCAACAATGCAAACAGAAATTAGAATGTCTAGTGACACATTGTGATAACTAGCTGAACAATCTAGACATATAAATGCTGTTGTAGTATACTTCTGGCCAAGTGGAAAACAGAATTTCAATACTAAT